CCCTTGGACTGCAAGGAGATCCAACCAGTCCATCCTAAAGGAGATCAGTCCTGGGTGTTCATTGGAAGGACTGATGCTGAAGCTGAAACTCCAGTACTTTGGCCATCTGATGTGAAGATCTGACTCATTTGAAAAGACCCTGATGCTCTGAGGGATTGAGGGCAGGAGGTGAGTGGAAGACAGAGGATGAGATGGCTGGATGGCGTCACAAACTCAATGGACATGTGTTTGGGTAAACTCCAGGAGTTGAAGTGATGGACAGGGAGGCCTGGCATGCTGTGGTTTATGGGGTCGCAAAGAGTCAGACGTGACTGAGAGACTGAATTGAGCTGAAGTCTTACTAATTGATTACCTAGTGAATTGAACAGTTGAAGTTCATTCATTATACATTTTTATATTCAAAATCTACAAAGGGAGTTTCATTTGAGGACAAATTTCTACTCTCACATGTGACAGAGAGATATAGGATAATGTTGGGTGATATAAAATACAGTGTAACTAAGTTTGTAGAGGTCAATTTAACATTTGACATAAACATGAACTCTGGATATGTTATAGGTTTGGGCGGGGAATACCTAGGACGGTTTAAAGCCTGTACTCGAAATATTTGGTCTATATGTTTTAATTCCCCCAGTATTTTGAGTATGTCCAGGTGTGAGTTTTAAACTATAAGGATAGTTTTGTTTACCCTAAATGTGAAACACAGCCAACCAGGCCATCCAGGGAAGAGAAGATCCTCAAGGGCCTGTTTAGACAGTTGCTTCTGGAAAAGAAATGGTCTTTAGTCAAAGAGTTGTCAATCCTATTTTTAAAGATTGATTAGGAAGTTGATTTTTTCTTTCTTCTGTCCTTGGAGAAAATGAAAAATAACAGGTGCTCTTCTACTTTAGACTAACCATTCATATACTTTATGACAGTTAAGTCTCCCTGGAGTCTTCTCTTCTCCAGGACAAATTATGCAAACTCCTTCAGTCTGTCCTCATAGGTCCTATGTTTCAAGCGTTAAATCATCTTATTGTTCCTCCCTGTATCTTTTCCAATTTCTTCAATATCCTTTTAAAAATATAAAGTCTTAAAGTTGATACCTTTGCATATATTAGATCAGATTGAACTTCAGGAGTATATTTATGTCTATCTTCTATGTCAGAGTGATGGTCACTATGACACAGGTCAGTTGGATGAGAGGGATAAGAAGAAAAAGAGAACCCAGATGTGCTGTTTAACATTTGACTCAATAGATTTATATGATGAGAAATAATAAAGATTGTGCCTGAGAAATGTCATAAGGGTTCTTTATCAGTCACATGAGAAGATGCCAAAACACTATGAATATTATAAAAACAATCAGAACTGCTTTTGCTTCTTTTCTTGGCTAAATAACCTGTTTGTTTGTTTGTTTGTTTGTTTTACTAATTATAACTGTGCAAGGGAAAAGATTACTAGGTGAGTTTACATAATACCAGATTCTGGACAAAAATGTATAACAGTGGAAGATGAGAACTGCTAATCCAAGGAAGAAGGTAAGGATTCAACACTAGAGTGACCTCAGCTTAATTAAGAGCTGGATCTACCTTTTCAAGCAGATATTAGTGCCATTCAAAGGCTCTGACAGAATGTTACATAGTGAAGATTTATGTTTTGATTAATATCTGATTGCATATTTTGATCATATACAGTCAAAATCATAGCAAGAGTATGATTTTGAGTTTGTTGGTAAGTTGTCCTTATAGGGTTTATAGCACTACATTGGTTTCTCTGTGGCATCACCTCGACTTCAGGTGATTGGCATGCCACAATCATTTTAACCTCTCCATCATATAAGGGCCAGAAGGAACCCATAAACTTATAAACCAAGTTCCCCTCCATGGTAGTTACTATGAGAGTACTTTTCCATTGCAATAAAGACCTAGAATAAAAGCTCCAAACTTTCTAGTCTTCCTTATTTCTACTTAAGTGCATCAGTAATTGATTTTTGTAATTTGTTGATAACTTTAAGTCTTGTCTATGTACAAAGCAAAATACCTGGCATTTATGCTACTCTCTATCCTGGGTTATATACTAGGAACTGCTTCATAACCTCCACAAAAGAGAAATCCAATCACTACAAAAAAGATGGTAGTGCATTGGTTCCAAAATTCTCCTTATAAATCAACAATAAATACTAGGGAGCACAACAAAGCTTGTAAGAGCTTAATTCCCCAGATGGAAAACTTCATGAGTCACCCATTGCTGGCTCACTTTCACTTTAAGGTGGGATGCAAATATTAATTGGCCATGCCCACATTGAAAAATCGCACAGGTAGATCCCAGAGGGCTTCTGCATTGAATGGTATGCAGTGGTGGAGCATCTGTATTGTGCACTAACCCCTCTTTGAAAGCTAATGCAGTATGGTCTTACCATTTTTGCAGACAGGACAACACTGCTCTGGTTCATAGACTGGGTTGACACACTCAGGAACTGCGCAGTCTGCTACAACACAGTGAACTTCATTGCTGGGCTCACAGCGACACCATTCACATGGAGAGGGCTAGGAACAAATCTAAAATTAGCCCCTTTTCTCCTATAACTTCATGCTTGCACATTCATATGCTGTCAGAAGATAAAACATCAGTGTTTATATTGGCTTTACTGTATTAATTCCATTTACCATGTGTATGATCATTCTTTCCCCATGGAAGGCCACCTGGACGCCCTAGCCAAGGGTGTGTGGCTTGGTGGGTTGCCAAGTGCAGCTCAGGTTGCCATGAGCAACCAGAGCGCTCATGTATGACGTTTCCTATGTCTTATGTTCCTACTTTCCAATGAAAGGTTTGGATAGCTAATATGTCACCTCCTGGTTTGGTTTCCAGATGCACTGGTTGCTATGCGTTCCTCTGGTAAACAGGCATGACCCTGGCATGTGTGCAATAAGTTTTTTCCATTTGTCATTTTTTCCTGCAAAGAAAGGATTACTGAGAATTGAGAAAATAGTAAATGGACAGCTTTACCCTTGGTAGAAACTCCTTTTCAAGCTAACCTAGATTCTAAAGGGCATTTTTTTCTAATGTGAATTTTAGAGGAGATTGCATTTGGGATCCAAATGTCCAGGTACTGCCTCTTGGAAGATTTAGTGAATACCTTTCATCTTACCTGCTTGCTTTTATGAATGAACTAAAACGGACAGACTTTAAAAAGTCACTATTTAAGAGTGGGCTGTCTCTGTAAGTTTGATTGGTGATTGATTTATTTAGAGAAATTAATTAGTAGGTAGCAATTTTTTTTTTTCTTGTCCTTACTTGCTAGGCATGAGTTTGTTTTTTTTTTTTTCCTTTCTTTCTAGTTCCTTTCTCTCCGATAATTTATCTCAGTGGGTGGTCTGTGTGTTTCTTTTTTTTTTTTTTTTCTTTTTTTTTTTTCTTTTTCATTAGATATTGATTGTTCTTTCTTGAATGCTTGGTTTTCTTTGTCGTTATTTATGTCTGTCTAGCCATTTATGTATGGATGGTTCTTTCTGCCTTTTCTTTGTTCGCGTGAGTGACTTGCTTGTTGTGTTTGTTCATTTCCGTGGCTTTTGTTTGTGTGATTGCTGTCTGTCCATCCTGTCTGTTCTTTTTTGTTTCTTTATTTGCCTGTTTGTTTGTTATCTATGCATGTTTCTTGAGTTAGTCTGTGAGAGTAGAAACCTTTCAACTAATTACAAGTTAATTTTATCTGTGGTTTCTATTTGAAGAATGATAGTCTAGCTTTCTCATTTTAATGTTCTTTTTATTGGTGCTGGTTTAGTCGCTAAGTCAGGTCTGACTCTTGCAAGCACATGGACTGTAGCCTGCCAGGCTCCTCTGTCAGTGGCATTCTCTAGGCACGGATACTGGAGTTGGTTGCCATTTCCTTCTCTAGGAGATCTTCTCAACTGAGGAATCAAACCTGGGTCTCCTGCCTTGCAGGCAGATTCCTGACTGATTGAGCTATGAGGGAAGCCAATGTTATTTTTGTTTATTTTTAACTGGAGGATAATTGCTTTACAATACTGTGCTGGTTTCTGCTATATAACAGTGAATCAGCCATAAGTATACATATATCCCCTCCCTGTTGAGCCTCCATCCTGCCTACCCACATCCCACCCCACTAGGTCATCACAGAATACCAAGCTAAGCCCCCGTGTTATACGGCAGCTTCCCACCAGCTACCTATTTTACACTTGGTAGTGTGCATATTTCAATGCTACTCTCTCAATTTGTCCCACCCTCTCACTCTCCCACTGGGTCCATAAGTCTGTTCTCTATGTCTGCATTTCTATTCTTGCCCTGAAATAGGTTCATCAGTACCATTTTTCTAGATTCCATACATATGCACTAATATGTGATATTTGTTTCTCTCTTTATGACTTCACTCTGTATAATAAGCTCTAGGTTCATCTGCCTCACTAAAGCTGACTTAAACTCATTCTTTTTTATGGCTGAGTAATATTCCACTGTATTTATATCCCATGACTTTTTTTATCTGTTCATATGAGTTTAGCTTTCAGTGAATTTTTTTACTTTCAAATTTAGTAGATACAATAGAATTAGCCATAGAATCCATGGAAGAAATATAGCTATCTCTTAGCATTGTCAACTAGTTTATTGGTGAGTACAGTTAAGCTCTTTACCATGTGGTTAAGTATTCCAGAAAAATCTACTGTATCATCCCAAGGGCTGGAATATTCCTGGGGCTCCTCTACCAAATAATGTCAGTAAATTAAGGAAAAGTTTGTTACTACAACACATTATTTGATGAAAGAAATTCTGAGTGAGGAAACAGTGTGAGAGACAGATATTCAATCTGCTATACTGCTTCCTATTTTGCAAGTCCCATTGTGATAACTTAAATTCCAAAGCAAACTTGTCAGAAGGTGTCTCCCTTTTCTTTATTAGTTGCAAAGAAGTACTTTTGCATAGCCTTCTGATGTGCAGCAAGGACTTAGTCTGAATTTATCGCTAACATGAGAGAAAATGGGAGCTGCATTGTTTCTGCACCTTGCCCTTCCACAGCTGTGGTTGTTCTGCTGGTTCCCTTCTTGCTGAAGGAGAGGCTGATCTGTGCAACTCTAGTGGACTGATTTGGGCATTAAAAATCCCAAAGAGCTCCTGGATTTTCCAATGCAAAACATTTATTTCAAAGTATCTGCAGTCATGGAGAAAGATTTGTTGGGTTATTAGATTGCAAGTGCAGACTGAGGAAGAATACCATTCTGATTCAAATGATATTTTTGAAATTAACTGTTAAGTATCACGCTGTATCAAGTTACTTATTTTTCATGATAACTTACTATGAAAGATGTTTTGTTATTTTCTCCATCTCACAGATAAGCAAATAGACTGTCAATAGGTCCTGTAGGCAGTAGGGGAAGGGCAGGGTTTGAATTTAGGCAGCCTAACTGCTATATAGTCATGCCATGTGGTGTCTATTCGGTGCACACTCATCTGAATAGTTTTTTTTTTTGTCCAGAGTGTTGTACACCTCTCTAGGCCAATGAGATCCACGAAAATAACCATTAGCAACTGAATGAAGGATTTATAGAGGATAGATAACTTCCTGCTAAGAAAGAGAATTTCACTAAATAGGTTTGTTGGTAAATAGACTTTGTTGGTAAATTATGGAGCAGTAGAACTTTTAAATTGCCTGCTAATGTGAGTTTATAGAAAATTGTAATAGGCTAGAGATAGTTTGCCATGAGGCTCATGTTCTTGGTGACTTTGGCATCTTCAAGTCTTGTAACCTGGTAGCTACACTCATGGTAGTTATCTGGGAGAGGCAATAACAGATAATGGTCCCGTAAAGACCTCAGGGCCTCTGCCTGAAATCAGTGGTGGCTGGAAGTGTACACAATGGATTCCTGAAAAATACTCTAAGGAAGAGCTAATAGTACAAGGCTTCTTCATAAGAGGATGCTAGACTTTTGAAAGGGATTTTTGAATAACAAGAAGCACTAATTAGAAAAATAAAAATGTCACCCTAGCCACTGGCAGCTTCTAATCAATCTTTCCCTGAATCTGGTTTTATTTACATACCAGTTTCTCTTCCTGGTCTAGAATCTCTTTTCAAGAAACCTGTTAGTTCTTTGTTTTTTATTTGATTGTTTTTTCAAAGAATGCCTCTGTTACAGCCTGCTTCTCTTTGCAAGCCTCCATGTGCCCATCCCCAGCCCCTCTAAATACTCTTGTCAAATTTAATCTACTGATCTTACACTAAAGCCCCCGTCTGTCCTGTGCAGGCTCTCTCCCTAAGCCTCTTTCCTTTCCTGAGCTCGCCAGTTCACCCATCATTTTCTTGCCTCATTTGACTTCCTGCACCACCCCTACTTTCAAAGTCATTGCTTATACAGCCAGAAGTTCCTAGGAGTGGGCAGTGTGCGCCTTTAACATTAACATTACTGTAAAAATCCTTCACACTTATTTACATTGCTGTAAAAATCCTTCCCACATTGCAGCATACAACTCTGAAAGGTTTGATGCTTTGAATAAATCTTTACATCTTAAGCACTGAGCTGATTACAAATTTCCTTTTATCATGCTCTTCAATGTGAAGACTATAGATTAAATCTGAAAGTGTCTCCCGTAAAACCAAAGATTAAACAATAAAGCTATCCTTCGAGGAACAGAGAACACTGGAACAAGTACTTTGGAAAAAAAAAAATTGTTCTTGCTAGCTCTTTTTTTTCTTTTAGAAGAACATGCGAAATTATGATCAGTACATGGCTTCTGTCAATTAGAGATTTGGTCAGTAAGATGATTAAATGACACCGTCCTAAAATTTTATACAAGGAAAATCTTTTTCTAACATATCTCACAGAGCATTTTATTTCAATGAAAGTTCTGAAAAATAAAGTAACATTCACTGTATACGCCTTTACATAAATTTTAATTGAAATTAGGTTTAGAGGTCAAATTTATTTCTTAATGTTTGTACTAGGTGATCTGAATATTGTATGTGTTATGAATGTGTATGCCTTCATCTTAGTTATTTTGAACATGTTATCTGTTTAAGCAGAAACCATACATTTTATCTACAGTTTCTGCTGTGATTAAATTATTTGTGTGGCAAATCCAAATGCTATCCAGGCCATTCCTAGAGTTCAAGGGATGTCCTCCTAGAGATGTACTTATTTATTTTGAAACTAATAGAATGAAAAGGGACTCTTTCTTAACTCTTGGTTTAGGTGACTAGAGCTCAAAGCTTCCTCCTTGGTTTTAGAATGGAAACATGGCAATAAAGCAATATGCACCCTTTAAACTATGGTTTATCACTGAAGACCTTGAAGCTGAGATCCTAATGCCGTTGTCTGTGACTTTTGAGATTTCTTGCAGAATCAGAATTCCAGAATCCTGCAAACAGTAGAATGCTTTGTGATTTTAAAAATGCAAAAAAGTAGGCTGAGAATTGGTAACTTAGGTTAGTGGAGGGACTGAGTAACTACAGAAAAACAGTCACATATGTTCTTTGTGAAAATCTGAAGCTAATGTGATTATCACTTAGCATCATTATAAGATTATTAGAACATGTTATTGG